GAGTATATTGCTAACTTAAAGAACCAAATAATGTCCTTTATAAAAATTCACTTTTCAAATATATAAAATCATGCTGGGAATAGGTGAGTGGTGATTATAAAAGAACTTGCTTCTATTGAATGAAATGTACATACTATTTTTTATTTCATTTTTAAATAACAAGAATTACTCCCCAACTTTCAAATAAATTAAAACAAATATAAACCTGTAATTCTACAGACTTCACTTCCAATATTTTCTGTGAAGGTCACAGAAATAAGAACATACTCAGATACTTCTTTTTTTTCCTTAATGTAAGAGTATAAAAGTGCTTTTCACTGATCCTAGAAAATTGGCTCTTAGTGATAGTTTATAGTTCTTAGTTTTCCACAACTTTTTTTTAAACATAACTTTCTTTAGAAGTCAAATTCAAGGGACTTCAGTGGTTTCCACAGGAATATGTGGATTGCGAGCCCTGATGTCCAAAAGATCCCATCTAACAGCTGTTCAGACATGGCAGCGAGACGCTAACAGCCATTATTTTTATTCAATAAAATAAAAAGTGTGCAAAGTGGAATGATTTTCAAAACCACCTACTTTGCAGAATAAAGCAATTAAATAAATCTATTTGCAAAGGGTCTAAAAGGAAGTTTGTTATTTCACTAATTTCAAGTCCTGCTCTGGATATTTAAAATTTTTTAAATGCCATTTGAAGCAATTTTCTAAGTTTTAAAAAAAATTTAAGAAGACTTCTTTCATTTTGGGAGAAAGCCAAGTGGGTCTTAAATTACAAGACTAACTGGAGAAGTCCAAGTCTCCTGCCTCAACTCTCTTCAGGAGTCCAAATTATAACATCAAGTGGTCGCTTTTTAGGAGTCCTGGATCCTAGAATTAGAATACTATTTTAGTTTCTAATAGATTTATACTTAACATATGTCCTTAGGGAATGCTCTTTTACAATTCTTCATATGGTTTAAAAAGTCTAAAAGTTGTCAGTGACAGCATTTTTTTTTATTAGCTACACATGACATTACAATGATCTTGGCAATTCATACATTTGAATCAATTGGGGTATAATTTCTCATTTTTCTGATTGTACAGATTGCAGAATCACATTGGTCATACAGTAGTGACAGCATTTGATTAGAGCAACTTCTGCAGTCAAATTTTAACGTTTTTGATTATTTATAAACAGAATATTATTATTGCTCCTACCTCAAATATCTAGGTCATAACTTCTGAATTTATGAGGGTGAGTAGTCCTTCATTCTTGCTAATATGACCAATAATTCCCAATTATACCACACTTTATAATAAGCACACTATACCCAATATAATGATATGTCATTTCAATGTAGCTAGCCCATGAACTTCCACAGGTTTAATGGGATTTTGCGTATTTAGAATTTCATCATAAAGAGGCCCTTTGGAATCATTATAACATCAATCCTTTCCCATTATAAGACTCAGCTCTTACTAGGCAGGGCTCAAGGCAAAGGCTTAACCTACCTATAGACTATAAGCCAGATCCTAATAAAAGCCTTAGCACTTGGGAGAACATTAATGAGTGGCAATGATGGCATATTAAAAACCTCCCAGAGAATCAGGAGATCATGGAGGCGGGCAACAATTGTGATTAAGGGAAAAATTCCTTAGGACTTGAGGTAACATTTAGATATGTACCTTTTATTCATTACTTTTGGGGTAAAGCGTTATATAATTGGGAGCAAATTAAGTACAAAATAACTCATGTTTAAGTCACAACTCTTTAGCTGTCCTGTCAAGGTTGAATTAATGAGAATGGGTAACACCAAGGAGTAAGAAGGCTTGTTTCTGGTACTTTTTAAGGAAAAAAAGAAAAGAAATGATAAGTAGTTGAAAGAGCAGATCCTCAAGCCTGGTGATGAAAACTGTCAGCCCTTATTCACAAAGGGTGTATTATTTTTTTCCTTGAACAAATAGTGTGTCAGTGTTTTTTGATTGAAGAAATCTCCACTGAGCAAACCCTCATTACATTACTTCACCTTATATACCTCTTCTGTGAATGGCACTTAATTTTTTCCTTATTCCTTAATACTTAAGGGTTGGTATACAAATACTCTCATGGTTTATCATGAATGTGACTGTAAACTGTATGAAAGGAAAAGGGGAAAAAGTAGTTCCAATAAGCCCCACCATCCTCTGGATTTTAATCAGCCCCAGTTGGCATGTATCTCTCATAGTACAGGAGTAGACACATACAAACACCCATAATCTGGCCAGGGAAGAACCTGCATTCCACTTGAGACCATAGCTAATATTTCAAACTGATTGGCATTTCCCCCGTGGCCTTATGCATAATAAAGTCTTCAGAACAGACTTTGGAAATAATTAATGTCTGACTCCAGCACCCATAAAGGTAGACTGTCAATGTGTGGTTGTTCAGAAGCTCATGCTCCTGGCTAGCAGATTAAACAGGTTCTTGGTTTTACTTATTCTCCTCCTTCCTCTTCCTTGCGTGGCCCACATTGAGGGTATGTCTTTGCTCATATGCAGCAATTCCACTCAAAGGTGGCAAAGGAAAAAGAGAAAATTTAATCTGCAAACTTGACAGAGGGTGTAGGAAGATATGTGGTAATTGAATCTACTTGCTGAACCCAGGTTTGAGGATTATTATTAGTAGTACTGCAGTTCTACCTAATCTCCAGTTGCTGAGGCTAGGTGAACGTTAGTTTCATAAATCCTGCTTTATTCAATTTTTATACCAATAAATTAAATGTTTGCTGACTATAAAACAAAACCTGCTTTAAAAATAACTATTGAAATTTGTTACTTTAACAAATTATCTATATCCTTTCATTTAAAAGAATGAATTCTTGAATAATCACCAAAACTCCAATTATTGTCTTGACATACAGACTTAATTTTCTTGAAGTAACAATGATCTTTTTAAGAATGTCACTAGGAAACACTGTAAATGCAACACAGGCTTCAAATTCTATTGAGGAACTATTTAAAAAATGAGAACAGTTATATATAAAAAGCCTGCACCTGGTAGGAAATATATAAAAGAAAGAAATTATTATTCTCAAACTTTTTTCCCCCTTTAAAACATGTCACCTTTGTATCACAAGTTTTTTTTTTCTTCTTCCCCAAGTTTATCTGAAATCCCATTCTAAGTCTATAATCAATCTTTTCCTTCTTTCCCTTCCACTACCTGTAATCCCTTAAAACTCCAGGCTATCACATACACTTCTGATACTGATGTGTGTTTTCCTCTGGATTTCTGGATTTGCTTAATGCATATATCACATATCACATTGCTTTGCACTAGTGACTGGAGGATAAAAGACCCTATATAAAAATTTGGTCATAAAAAGGGTTAAGAGGACAGTCTTGGGGCCTAGGGAAAGTCTACACTAACCACGTTTTAAATGTATGAGCAGAAAATGTTGAGGCCCTGAGCAAAGTCTACGTGATGGTGATGTTTCACTTAATGTGACCAACATATGACCAACTAAAAGTTGCAACACCATTCTACATTAGATGGTTGACTGTTATATATGAGTTATCAACAAAGTTAAAAATCTTTCAGGTTTTAGGTAACTGGCAAATGAAATTATTTTATACCATCACTTATATTTCATGGAGCTCCAACTTTCAGAAAACAAGTGACCTCCTAAAATAATGTGAACAAAGAAAACAGGGGAGATATGTTATTGTTTTCAATTCTGTTTACTAATCTGATAATGATAAGGACTACTATCAAATTTGAAAAGTTCTATCAATCAGTACCAAAAGGCAAAATTTTAAAAATCAATGCAAACTGTAAAATGTAGCATTTTTTTTTTCATTTAGATATTAGACTGTATTTAAAAACTAGTAACAGAAAACACTTGCCAAATTCATTTAGTCTCTGACTGAGGCACACATATGTGATCTCCTAATTTACAGCTTGCACGTACAGATGTTCACACTTAGTAAAAGGGCTTCTTAATAGCTTTTTTTAATTAAAAGTGTGTTGATAATAGGTGTTTTAAACATATCCAAACAACACAGCTGAACTGACAAATGCCTGTCTTCATGCCTCACCATGTCTCACATGGGGCGAGATTTTATAAGAGAGCAAAGTTATGTGATTCAGTCGCATGTCTATACGATAAATGTTACCCCCAAAACCTCCAAATGAAATCTTTCATTAATTTTTCTCTCTATGATCTGCTTCCAAGTAGAAAATGTTAGATTGCTACTAGGTTTGCGTAGCCGAGAGCAGAACCACACAGCCGCTGCTTGCTGCCTGCAGCTTTTTCCCTCTGAAAAACTTTGAACCCCGTCCAGCTTTGACACACTGCCTCTTCAGTTAATAACTATCAAGTTTCCCCTTGTCTCCTGTCTACTTTTCTGTGAGGCAATTGCGCACTCAGCACCCCGAGATAATAACACACATCTATAAGATAAAAGCAATGGCATTAATGTAATTGTCTGCCTCTCTCTCTTTAGCCTAATCTTTTTTTTCCTTCAGTTTTGACTGCCTGTGTGACACCTGTTTTTGTCTCCTCTGATCCTACGACAGGTTTTCCGCTGACAAGGTTTTTGCCTGACAGAGATTCTGCAGACAAGAACATAATAAAATATGAAGAACTGCTTGTCAGAGTTTCTGCCAATGCTCACATGAAATAAAGAAAAAAAAATGACTTTTTTTTTTTAAGGGGCCCTGTGATGGTCGCTTTTAGCATGTCAGAAAAAAAGACCTCCCTAGCCAAGTTCTCCAAGCCAAACAGGTGTTTTCTTTTATGTTAGGGGTTGATTTGTTTTTTAATTTTTACTGATAGTGGAACACATTATCAGCCAAAAGGGGGAGGGGTGAATTTCTTACCCTCAGATTTTTGCAGGCAGAGGATTATGGAAGAACTACCAAATAAAAGGGGAAGGCATTTCACTTAAGACCAAAGCTTCTGAAATAAAACAAAAATGCCAACATCTGTTAATGATCAAACATTCAACTCCTCTAAAATTTACTTCCTGGTTAGTTATGCTAAAAAACCTCCTCCCTACCTTTCACTTGTTTCGTTATCTGAAGACTCACAGGGAAATAGCAAAGGCTAAAACAGAACGAAGACTTAAAAAGAAATTGGATTGAAGACAAGGGTCTGCAGGCTGTGCTTACAATGTCAAAATGGGAAAGGGTTGCTGGAAAAGAAACTACAAGGAGGAGGAATTGGAGACTTATGGACATCCATAAACCTTCCTTGCATGTACCACGTGGGAGATTCTGCATGGTACTGGCAGCATTCAAAGATGGAGCGCCCTTCCAGAGTTCCCAAGCTACTAGAAGGATCCGCATTCCCCAGAAACTACTCTCCTGGTCTCAGCAAAAGGCACTGCGAATACACAGAAAAAAAACACTTACTTGCTCCAGGGACAAGAGGTAAGGAGTCGGGAGAGAGGAGAATCCTCCATTCTCAATGAGCAGGGCACAGGAAAGATGGGACAGGATCAATACTGCAGCAAGTATGCAAGTAGGATACACTGGGAAAGAGTCCAAGTGACAAGGAAGAGACAACAAGCCTGAATTTGGGGTTCTGGAATTCTCACGTGGGTTCTAACTGCTCTGCCATCAAACCACTTCAACCTAAGCCTGAAGTCTCCAAATATATTTCCTTATACCTATAGCTTCTGACAGCAATATCTAACAGAAAGATAATTCAAGACACACTCGTAATTTAAATTTTTCTACTCTCATCAAAAAAGTAAAAAGTAAACACTGATGCTAATTTTTTTTAAATATATTTAATTTCACATAATACATCAAAAATATCAGTAGGTAGTCAATGTAAGAACAAGTCTTAATGACAATTTTACATACTTTAAAGGTGACATCTCCAAAATCCATGGTATACTTTATACTAGCACATCTGAATTTGGAATGCCATTTTTCAAGGGCTCAAAAACCCCAACAGTTGCATCCTTATTGGACAGTCAGGTCCACAGCTGCCTTTACAATCCTTGGTCAGTTGAATCTAAGGTCCAACTACACTGTCCTTTCAATCAGATGGGTTTGAGTACACATGTATAGCATCACTTGAGCACAGAGCAGCCAGGGAAATGCAGGACATCAATGTGAGGTCTCCCTGGATACCACAGAGAAGCACTCAAAAGAGGGAAGAACATTAATATCAGGCCTAATAACAGATACTGCTTATAAAACTATCCAGTTATAGTAAAAACTCCTTACAATATTTTCTATAAAATGCTTTGCTTATGTGCTCACTAACAACAAATTCATTCAAGGAGGTTTGGAAGAGGTACAAACATCTACAAAGGAAAGGCAAAACCTGGCAAAGAATGGGATGGATAAACAACGTTTTAGGGCCCTGAGAATACAAGTCAGAGTTCTCTCTAAAATAGTGTATTTATCTCATCCAGTGATTTCATGATACAATAAAAGAGTAGGGGAAGGTTGGGAGAAGTCACCAATTATGACACAATAGAGAAGGAACAATAGTTGAGAATATCAACATAATCTTGCTGAGGCATATGGGTCCTTATGACCCAGCTGAATCTCCTGGTTTATCTGAACAGTGCATCCTGAGTAAAACAAGTGGAGCTGAGGGTGTTTCATTTATCACCCCTTCAATTTGTGTTCTGCTTAACCTGGTGAACTCCAGTTAATTAAGATGTTCCTATAAACAATTAAGCTTCCTGTAGGATCGTTGGCAAGATATAAAAATTTATGATGTAATAAAATGCAATAAAATGATAAAGTAGTGAGCCCATCAAAGTACTTCACAAGCAAAAAGATAGGTGCAAAAATACATAAAAGCAGCTTCAACTTTGTCTAAAATTCACCCACTTCTGGGTTTTAATTTTCAACACATAAATATTCCTGCAATTTATTTGACCTGATCTGTGTTTCTCAAAATTTGACTTTTGGGGTAAAGTTTTCCTTACTTCTGTTCACATAGGGGTTTAGGTATGGAAGCTATTGAGAACTATCCTGGATTTGCTGGCAGAAACAATTTCACCTAAACACTGGGCTCTACAACCAAGAGAACTTGTGACCAGAATCTGCCACTGGGCACTGAAGAAAACCTTCCCTGGAAGAATGAAGTTCAGACTTTCCCTAAAACTCTAGACATTATCATGAATATTAAAGTTTAATGTTATGTTATTGACTTAATAATAATAACTAAAATGTTTTTGCCAGAACACCGGGCTAGCTTCCCTCTTTCATTTAATTCTCCCTCCAACCACCATGTGATATTTAAGCACATTCCTATTATTATCTGAATTTACAGATAAAAGAACTGGGGCTTAGACAAGGTATTAGTCTGGCTACACCTAAAGTATAACCCCTAAACTTTGCTAGAACAAGTCTGTCATGTCCTCAAGGTTGAAGTTTTGCTTTTGTCAGAATTTAATAGTAATAACCACTAACACTTATTAAGTGTTTACTGTGTACAAGGCACCAGGATCGTCTCATCTAATCTCAGCAGAATCCCATCATTATTCACATTTCACAGATGAGAAAACAAATGTATTACACAACCTGGACAAGGTTCCACTGACAGTGGGTGGTAGAGCCAAGCAAGATGTGAACCTTCAGAGTCTCTTTTCAGAGCTGCACCTATCTTCTTTGTTGCTTCCTTTCATTTCATACCCTGGGGAGAGAACTCTGTATGTTTCAACCTTAAAAATCTCCCAAGAAACTTCTTACCAATAGACTGGTACTGATTATACTTCCAAGGCCAGGTCTTTCCAGACTCACTTTATAACCAATAGGAATCAACTGGAAGTAGAAAAAAAAAATCTGGAGAGCTAATAGACCTAGAGCCCAGGACTGTGAGAAAGAGGCACTGTTTGTGCTATACTTAAAAAAAAAAAATTAGGGAGTTGTCATACTCTATCCCAATGGTGGGCGAGCTGAGAAACAAATCAAAATAAGCAGCTCAGGGACACAAGAGGAGAGTAGTTAACATCATTAATCAAACAAAAACCTTTGGATTTGGAGGATGTCCTCCTTTTACAGTTTATCAGCCATGATCAGGGAGTAGGAGCGGCAGAAGAGGGCACTATGCCCTCAGGTCAAACAGCAATGTCTCCTGTGCCAGGGCAGGAAATGGCCTTGTTTTTGCTCTCTGAAATGAACATAAGTCCAGAAATGTTCAAGGACTTTGCCCATGGAAAGACCGGGACCCAGCTGCCTCACCAGAGCTAGAAGGCAGTTAAAAGCTGGCTTCTCTAACCAAGAGAAAATTTCGCAGTTATCTAACTAAGTTTACCAGAAAGGCAAGTTCTTGTAAGTAAACACTACATTAGTATGATATGTCAAGATCATTGTATTGTCATGAGCAACTAATAAAAATAAATAAATAAAATGTGCATTTTGCTCCAAAAAAATACTACATTAGTTCCTCCTCCCAGACCAACACATAAAAAGAAGAGAACTGCATTTTTTCTATTCATGTGTCTCTGACTAAAGCCCTAGAATCATCTTCCCAAAGGATCAAGATCTCACTTGGCCACTGCTCAGCCTATATTTGCTTCCCTGTGCTGAGAAGCACCCAAACTAATATCAGTATTGCACTATTCATCAAATCCTAAATATTCTACTGGAAACATTTTCTCCCAAAGCAAAATACCTTCTTGATGGGACAATCTCCATGTCAGTACAAGGAAAACTAGAGCTTTACAGCAGGTTCATATCTGCGAACATTATCTTCCTTTGTTATGGAAACCCAGGTCTTTTTCACGCTCTTTATCTTGACAAATCTACAAATTATCCCACAGATACTGTTGTGGAATCTCTTAGGATGAGCCATGATTTCACAGAAATGTCACACACTTTATTGCTTACAATAGAGGACCTTCCCTGTGGGAGTGGGGAGGGGAGAAGAGTAGGGAATAAAACAGGATAGGAGAGGGAAGTTTACCACTGGGTTTTGGATTCAAGTCAGGTAGAACATTACAGAGATACCAGTGGGGGAGAAAATACCTTCATAGACATTTATACAATTCATAAGCATAATACAGACTGGGACACATAATAAAGACATATGACCTCTCACAGAATAAAATTAAAAACTCCTGGTTTTGACCTGCCCTGCTAGAGTCCTTATAAGGTACCACCATGCCTTCAACACCTGTAAATAGAATACTGAGATCTCATATTTCTAAATGTAGGACCGAAAGACCAGGACCCATGTTTTTTGATTATAGGATGCTCATGACCAATAGCCCTGATTTAGGACCTCATCATGAAAATTAAGTCTGAGTATGATTTTCTTTTAGGTGTAGGCTTGCCAAATGTTAACAAATTAAAATATAGGACACTCAGCTAAACAAGCATGGTATATAGTTATATTAAAAAATCATTCACTATCTGAAATTCAAATTTAATGGGACAGTCTATATTTTCTATTAGTGTGACAGTCTCTATAATACCCCTCATCTGCCTGAGAAGACAGATCAAGTAAAAGCTGAGAATTCATATTCAACAATGCTGAAGGAAGAAAGAAAAAAAATATTTCTAATGAATGACAAAAAGATTGCAAATTAATGGATTATATGAATATTAAGTCTTACAGTACATTAAACCATAAAACTGGTTGGTATATGACACTAAATTAACTTTATGCACCTCGCCATTTCCTGAAGCACAGAACCGAAGGTTACCTGGCATGGTATTTAAAGTACATATGACATATGTTTAATAAATACCTATTAATTCACGATCCTGGCAATATAGTCCAAGCCTGCTCATTTTACATTAAAAAGTATGAAGAGTTTGGATAAAATATGGACAGGAAAACACTTAGCTTGATAAGCAAATAATTAAAGGAATAACTACTTTTCCTTGAATAAACTGCCAGTAGTAAAAGGAAATCACATTATGGAATATAATAAAAAAAAGTTTTCAAGAATTCCAGTGCAACAAGAATTCTTTCAGGAAGACATCAGCCAAAAGGAATAACACTTGTGTTAATTCCGATTGCCTGGAAGTGAACGAACATTCTAGCACTGACACAGTTTGTTGAAGGGTGCATCTTTTTCCTTTTAAGTCAAAATATTTTATGAAGGAAATAATTTGCATTGAGAAAGCTGCTGTGGGGTTCATAGGCTATGGAATATATTTTTTATTCATCAATTCTCATATTATTGCCAAAGGATCATCTGATATACCTAACATACCTACAAATCAGCTTCATCAGAAGTAAAAATAAATGATTCAGTAGATGGGAAAAAATCTAAATAAATCTTTCTAAAACCTTCCCAAGTTTTTCATCAAAATACAAAAATCAAATGTATTATGATTGTCATGATAAATATTTTCAGTTATGTTGGCTAATCAATAAATATTCCTTAAACCCATTTAGAATTTGTTCCCTTTTTATTTTTACTTTATTTATCCTAATTTTAATGGTTTAGAAATTATGTCTTCATCTAGATGACATTCAAATTAATTTGCAAATAATCAACAATAACAATGTGTGTATATGTATATATATGTGTGTGTGTGTGTACATATACACACACACACACATAAATATAACAGTTACACAGCCTCTAGTTTCTCTCAAAGGTAATGACTATCAGTAACTCAGAGATTTCACAAGAGGGGAAGGTGAGTGGGGAGTACCGTCCTCCCACTCACCTAACCATCATAGGGCATAGACCGGTAGTTTTTAAGACCATATAAAATTGTTTTCCTGAAGCCCTGATTTTGAGAATGGTTGACTTATAATTCTAACATGGAGAGAAAGAGTCAAAACACAACAAACTGAATTTTTACTAACAAAAATACATCACCAGAAAAGAAGACTGTTAATGCTTGTATCCTGATATTTTGGCAGTTTTGAACCAAATAGCTGAACATTTAAGACACTTCCCTCAAGACTTAAGTGAATGGAAGGAAACCACAGGAAGACAATACAAATTGGAGAAAAACATGAATATAAAGTGAATTAAATGGCAGTGTCCTGGAGTCCTTTATCCAAGAACTTTGAATAGACATCTGACAAAATTAGAAACTCTTGAGATATTTTTGGCTCCACAACTAAGTTATTATAGACAAGGTATGGATATCCTATACCCAAAAAAGTTTGTTTTAAATAAAGCTAAATTCAACAAACTCTGCTATTATCAAAGTGAAAGAGCTGAGACTCACTGAAAGGCGGGGAAGGTAGGAAATCCTTTATTAATTCAAGAACTGTTTTAAGTTTTCCCTACCCCCCAACTCAACAGTGCTAAGATTTCAAGGAAGTAATTAGTGAAGAAAAGCCACTGAGCAATCTCAGAACCCAGGTTTTGTACCATATTGAATTAATCACTTTCTTCCATTTTTTAAAATGCTTTTCCTAAGGTTTTTATAAATAAGCTAATATTAACAATTCAATTTCTAAGACAACAGTGTGTGTATGTGTGTGTGTGTGTGTGTGTGTGTGTGTACCCATACACAGAGACGTGTGAATGTGGGGGGGGGGGGTATAGATGATATATAATGACCCTGAATCAAACATCTTAGGAACCATTTGAATAAATTTAAGATACTACTAGCAAAGGATATGTAGGTAGTCATTTATTCAAGACGCCAACAAATTTCTGAAAGTTATTTTTTTAAATGAGAATACCTGATTTGGGCACTGATTATTTTTCAGCATCAGATATTAATTATTTAAAATAGCGCAAAAATAGGATCTGTTCAATGTTATCATGAAACAGTTCTATGAAATGTATTCCACTAGTTTTATTGTCATTCCATACATTTTTAGAGAAAAATCACACAGTAGAAAAAGCAAATCACTTCCTCCTTGCCCCACACGTAGGACACTGTAATGTGTAAGGCAGCCAGAAAGATTGCTGTGTTTCACCTCTTTGGAGAAATAATTGGAGACATGATTTCAGGGTTTCTGTACAGGGGAGGGAATGAAGCAATTAGTTGAAATGCTAGGGGCAAAACAAGTGGGAGCTCTCACCCCACTTGCCAACTCAAAGGCTAGAAGCCAACCTCTCAGTGTCGTATTTGCCTAATGAATTGGAAGAGTGGCTTTGCATACCTGCATGTATGTATTTTCAGTTATGTATAGACATATATCTGTGGGAAAGAATAAGAGAGGTCACAATGATAACTGTGAAAGGGAAGAATTAGAATTAATTTTATTTAGTATGCCAGAAACAGAATTTCTAATGGTACAGTAGGAAAATTTGATGTAAAAGAAATATCTTCTTCGAGTTGGGTGAAAAAAAATGACATCCTTCAAAAAAAAATCTTCAAAACAATCATTGGCCAGGAATAGTGTCTGTTGTTCAGGAGGAAGAAATATTGCATGTTTTTCATTACACTACTAATGTAATATGCACATGGAAGCCAGATAGATAAAACAAACTCTAGTGACACAGCCAACTTTTATACTCAGAAAGCTCCCACAGTAGATAGATGATGTTAATACAAGGTGGCTTTAGGGAAAAAAAAAAAAAATCAGTGAATAAATGAAAAGCCTTTTGTTTAATGATTAACCTCTCTGTTCAACTAGTGAACAGTTTGTTATTTTTAACATGTAGAATTTATTAAAGGTTTCATATATTTTATTCTTAATTTTCACTGTAAGACAATGAAATAGCTATTATGATTGGGGGGCAGGGGTTGCTGGGGATTGAATCTAGGGCTTCATACTTGCTTAGCACATACTCAGGCACTGGGTTAACCCAAGCCCTAAAGGAGGTATTATTATTAATCATATTTTACAGATAACAAAACAGAGAGTCATATTGGGTAATAGGACATTGAAGTGGAACAATCAGGATTGAGCATGAGAACATTCTATGCCCAATGACCTTGTGATTCCTGATGGATTAATAATAAGCTCTGAACCCATTATCTGGAAATTGCATACTTCCTCAGGGAAAGAAGGATGGCTGGGCAGTGCCAAGGCTATGTTGAGATCAGGACTCCTTGAGTCTCAGATTGTGACTGTATTTGGAGATGGGGCCTGTAAGGAGGTGATTACATCTGACAGGTGTAGTTCTAAGAGGAAATAAAGATATACAAGACAATGCCACAAAAAATTATTTAAAAAAAGAAAGAAGATGTCATAGGTATGTGCCCAAAGATAAATGTCACATTAGGATAGCCTTCTGCAAACCAGGAACAAAGGCCTCAGAATGGAACTAACTCTGATCTTGAACCTGACCTTGAATTCTACCTTCCATAAGTATGAGAAAATAAACCTCTGTCTCTTAAGCTACCCAGTCTGTGGTATTTTGTTAAAGAAACCATGGCCAACTAATATAGAAAGAAAGAAAAAATCATCTAACATTGTAACATGTACAAACTGTAAATGTTACAGCAGTTCATCTGTTTTTCAAGACAGAACTAGGAGCTCTTACAGATTCTGGCTTCATCAATGGAGTAGGAACATGTCCCATTCCCGAGGATCACGGGATTGTGGCTGTGTCACCCTACCACACTGTTTCCAACAACATCCCCTCCTGCTGAAATGTCCCCTGCAACTCCAACACACATGCCCTAACAAGCTAGGTACATGATAAATTAAAAGCATTTCAAGGCATGGCCCAATGTTGTTACCTCAGATCTTGCTAGAATAACATGACATTTATAAAAAATACAACCCACTGGATGTTTGGCACTGCTTGGGAATGAAGAATATGTCCACTTAAGAGCCAATACCCCAGGCTGTCAAAAAATCTCAAGCCAGGATTTCTTTTATAAACATTACCTATCTTTTTAAATTCTTCAGTCTAGGAGGTGAAAAAGGGGCCTGCTTATTTCTACAGTCTCCTTTCACCTAAACACATTAAATGTAAACCATGCACAAGAAAATGTTAAAATCATACTCAAGGCACATTGACAGAACAGCTCTGTGTACCTGGCAAACAGCCTCCACGCTGCCATCCATGCTTGGGCCATTCCCAATCCAATGACACCTACACACAGCACCCACACCACCAACGTCTGCCCCCTCTAATCCCAGCACACTCTGAAATCAGGTATTTATAGATTATTTTTTCAGATACCAGCCAAATAATGTCACAGTGCACCCTCTCACCCATGTTAGACCATACAAATTTTAACATCTGGAAGGATAAACTCAGCCCTAAACACGTGACAAGGGTACACAGTCATCTAGGAGTTCTCAAGCAAGGGGAATTTGCCAACTTCCCTCTGAGGTCCAGACTCTGAAAGCCAACTGTGGAATGTCTGAGTTTCCATCAGGCCTGGTGCTTGCAGGCTGCTGCTATGTCAGGAAGAACCCCACAGCTCAACTGTCCTATAAACATCTTGCCCCTCTGCTGAGTGCTGTTGGTGCAGCCTTCCTTCTCCGAGCCGAGAATATGCTGTCTGAGAGTCACAGGCTGAATGTTAACTAACACAGGAGCACAGCTGACCGCTCTCTTCTACAGGCCAGTGGCTGCTCTAAGAAAACACATTCACGTGAACATAACAAGAACAGGAAGAGGAGCCCAGATTTTCCTCACCATGTGCCACCCAGCCATGTTTACACTGATCGCAAGTCCTCAGGTTAATCTTCCCCGGCTGAAAACATTCACATGTGCAGTTTACCAACGTGCAACGGATGGCCTGAAAAACAGAGCAGGAAAAAAGATCAGCATCTGTTCAAAGGTACTATACTTTTTTCACAATTTTTAATAAATAATTCCCACTTCTATTTTTAAAGGCTATTTCTTTTGGTGGAGGCCTAGAGAATTTTGAAAATAAATATTGATATCATCAAAATCTCTTACCAAAAAAAAAAAAAAAGTAAGAGAAACAAAGCTCATTCAGAATCATATTTTAAATCACTCATAGTAACCTTTAAATTAGAAATGTAGACCAAGGAGAATAAGAATAAAGGATTATATATTCTACAAAATGCAGAAATCCAAAAAAGAAACAAATGGTACTACTAATTTATTTCCATTTAAGTTTATCCACTTTCTAATAATGAAAAAGAAAATACATCTTAATAATGTTAAAGTGAAATGTTTATACAATTAAATGCAACAGAAAAATACTGTTACAATAGTACTTCTGAATTTCATTTAAATACTTTGCTAATCTGTCAGATATTTCGAGAGACACTCCTGTTTTCTCAATAAGACTTAGCATATTTATATTATTATTTATCATTTTCCCTTAGGGATTTTTTTCTTTGATTATTAATTCTTACTTTCTTTCCCATTTTGCAAACTATAAAACAATTCTCCTTTTATTTTAATGGTGAGAGAAGAAAATAAGTTTCAATTGACTTTTTAAGAGCAGAATGCAGGAAAAGCCATTTATGTGAACATTTTATACCTGGAACAGTACAACTCTATCTTAGAAAACAGAAACCCACACAAAAACTCTTTTATTTCCTTACCAGGACTTTAAAAATTCATCTTGCCAGTTTATATTATAAAGTGAAATCCACTGAAAATTAGCATAAATGGAGTGTAACATTTTATGAATAAAAACTTCTGGTAAAGAATTGTGCTAATGCTGACCTGTGCTCCTAGACTACAGTTAATAAATTTATCTCATACATTTAATTCTAATTTGCATGGAAATTCTGAAGACAGAAGGGATTTGGTCTGATCATTCACAGATTAACAATCTACTGTAACTACCTGAACTTCCCGGAAAAGATCTCTCTGCAGATTTAGATGCAATCAGAGATTACTGATCTTGGGTGCAGGCATGGGTTCTGTGAGCACAACTCAGCTCTGTGTCTGAAAGCTACACTCACCTCACATGCTCACATTCCTGGAACCATTTGGATTTTTATATAAACTAGCTGACTTGTAACAGGAAGTATGTTAGATAATCTTAACATGTGCAGAGACTAAGGCTGAATGGGCTTCTCCTGTTCCTTATGTTCTGGATCAGGCAACTTTAGTAATTTCTCTTTCACTGATTTACATTAACTCAATGGGTGCTTCTTGAGTTTCAGATGTTGGAGTCCTCACTGTTTTCTTCTTTGATACTTCACTCTCACTCCTAATTTGTTTTTTCTGTTTACCTCTAGGGAAATAATTATAAAATCTGCCTGATATTTCAGGGACTGTCTTCCAATGTCATTTGTCCAATTATATATTAGCTAGGCTGTAAAACTTTGCTGCATGTATCAGCAATTAAAGGAATGCATAGGTTATAAAGGGAAATAATTCTCCCCAAAGTTCTTATTTCAATTTCAATGTTTTTTTTTAACTTAGCAATGTATCTGAACATCCTAACTGACAAATAGTTTCTTTATATAACATATTTGTTAGTTAGCAAACTCACAATTTGATTGTACTATGCCCCCCAAAAAGTTCAGAGCACAGTATTTCCCCTAAAAACAAGATGCTTTACAGTCTACCAAATTATAAATTCAGATATGAAAACTATATTAACGTTAACATTTGAAGTGCAATAATAATAACATTCGCAAAGGATTAATTTTTTTAAAAAATCCCTCTGCTTTATCAAAATCAAGGGAAGGACAATAAAAAGGAATTATTTTTCAAGGACTATCTTTAACCCAGGCATCAACAACATAAGCCACTTTAAATCACTGATTTGGTGATATTATTTTACAAAAATGCCCTAATTTGGTATCATGTTTAAAGCACACCTTCAACTTTCATTACAGCTATATTCAATGCCAGAATAGATTGGAGACTGTAGGTTTGCTTTATTTTATATATATATATATATTTATTTTGTCACTAGCCGAATCATTCATTCACTTACTCTGAACTACTTTATTATTCAAATATTTTCTCTTCCTAAATAATTTTATATGTCTGGTACATTTGGGAATTAAACTTCTCAGATCATCATCCCTTTCTACGAATTCTACTCTTTTTGTACCTAAATATATAAACACTGGAACACCTCAACTCCTTTTGTATATAAACACTTAAGCACTGGAATAGCCATTTTGTATCTCTATGAATTCCAGAAGGTCTATTTGTTTTAAATTCAGATTTATATAGACTACAATTATTCCTTAAGGGAATTATATATATTTAAACAATATGGTCTAAATAAATATTTTGAGTGAGAGACTATTGTGGCTTCAAAGTAAGTTTTATTCTAAACAACATTTTTTGAAACTGCATAAAACTTTGACATGCTATTTATTCACAACAAAACAGAACCAATGTGATCACTTGCCAACTCACCCACACTTAAAAAACATAAATTATCATAAAACTATCAAAGCCAGTTATGCCTCAAAAATGCACATGCATTACAAGAAGAGTAGAAATGGATGAGCTCTCATTCTGGTAAGCAGGTTTGCTTCTTCCTTCCCTGGGCAAATCAGGAGCGCCTCCCACTCTCTGTGGGGGCACTCAGTGTAAGACCAAGCTATATGCATCACATTATCTGAGCTACAGACATTGGAATTCCAGTGATGAAGAAAGTGCAAACAGTTCATAGTCACACTACTCCCACCTCTGTGCAGGGAACAGCATTCCCATCTAGCTGATGCAGATACCAGTTCTCCAGGACCCCCCTCATCAGAGGTGCCCTGTAACTCTTTCCTCAATTCTTCTATGATTACCATTTCCCCAACTGCTGGAGGACAACAACTTAAATTTTCTTCAGCCTGCATTTATTGAAAATAATTATTCCTTCTGCTTACCTGAACCAGGGATTTCTTGAAAGAGAAATCCATGCACTCAGCAACCAGTGCTTCCACTTCCTGGCCACCACCTACATTTTAACTCTGCTGGCTATCTGGATTCTGCCCCTCACTCCCTCACAATGTGCTCTCTGATAGGCAATGTTCTCATCACATCTGGTCCCCTTTTCTAGTCTCCCCTAGCTCCTTAGACGTTGATGTAGCTTGTAGCACTAACTCCTTCATTCTGGGCGGTAGAGACGGTCAATCCTAGTTTTTCTGGCAGCAACGTCTCACTTTCTCTCCACTGTAAATAAATACAGGTGTTTTCCAGAGCCAGACTCTTCATTCTTAAATTTGGCAATTTCATTCTCTCCTACGGCTTTAAATATCACTATGTAAAAACCCATCACTTTGTAGCCAGGGACTGTGCTAAGTGGCAGGAAATGCAAGGCAGTGTCCCTGCGCAAGGGGCCTGACAGTTTGGCACTTTTTGCCAAAAAAAGTGGAGAGTGGATTTAGACCACAGGCTCAAAGAAGAAGAAGAAGGAAGTCCTTAAACCAGTTTAAAAAATGCCATCCCTTCCTCTCTATTACCCGTAAATTTTTATTCATTTTTGCAACAGTAAAGAATTGCCTGCGACTTACTGAATATTTTGCCATTTTCCAGACTTTGATAGGTAGTTGACAAATACTAGGTCTCTGAATCCTCAGAAAATATCATGAGCTTGATATTATTACTCCTTTAATTTCACAAATAAGGAAACTGAGTCAGAAAGAACTAGGCACCTTGCCAAAGTCATTCAACTAGTAAAGTCAAAGGTGCAAGTTTGTGTGAGTGTCCCTCCCAAGTGATTAGGGACCTTGAATTAGAATCTCACTCCCAGAGAGGCAATCATGGAACAGAGCAGAGCCTTCCTCCAAAAATGCTCTCTCTCTCTCTTTCCTGCCTTTCACTTGGTTACTATCCTAATTCCAGTCTTTTTTTCTAGATTACTCAAAGTGGCTCTAATTAATCTACCCATTCCTCTTTTCTCCCCATTCCAGTGAACATTCTCTCTTCTCAAATTCCCACATATTTGACTCTTCCATGTGGCATTTGCTTTACTGAGGCTATATCTTTGACCTCTTGTCAGCAAAATCAGTGGGTGGGAATCCTATCTGATTAGCCAGTGGATCTCCCCCTCCCTGTCCACTGCCTATTTCTCCAAGGCAATGCTCTCCTCTCCACCTGCCTACCTTCCAACCCCTGCTCTGCACTGTGAGCTTCTGCTATTCTTCAGACTTCACTCTGATATCACTCATTCCCATGGCAACTGTCCTAGTCTTCCATTCAAAGCAAGTTCCCTAGCAGTCTCCTGCATCACAAGGGATCTGTCTGTCATAGCACTAATCACAGGTTATGACTACTGTATTGACCTGTGTGATTATTTGATTTGGGTTTGTATTGCCTCTAGAATTTAAAAGGTAAGACGTCTGCTGGGCTTGTATGCTGGCAAATAAACAGGTGCTCAAAGGGCACTAAAATATGTGATTTCCCCAAGCTTCTTTTCTCAAATGTAAAATGATGGTAGCAATGACATCAAAACTGTGTCAAAAGACTCACATGAAATAATATAGAGTACATGGTACCCTGCCTGGCAACAATAGAAACTCAATAAATGACAACCATCTATATTGCCTCCAGAAACTTTCCACATATTATATTTGAATGATTCTTTTATTCCCTTCTAATTCTTCCCAATATATTAAGTTTTATTCTAATACCTTGCAAAATGTTTAATGCATATTTAGTCTTAATGAATAAATGAACACTTTGTATTTGTATTACACATAATACCATATCATTCATACTATAACCCTATAAGATAGGCACAAGGATTATTATCTCTTGTTTTAAGGCTCTTAAATGATATAGTGGAGAGGAAGACAAATCTCTCAATTACTACTGATAGTTTCAGCTACTCAGAGGCTAAGGCAGGGGGATTGC